CAATTTATATAGTTTAATAAAATGGTTTAAATATAAATTCTCTTAATAATTATATATTTTAAAATACTTAAATGTAGGACTTCGTTAATCTCGCAAAAAAAGTTTTATAATCCTTAGTGACGAAGTATTTTTCAAATTGAATTTCTTGTAGATTCCTATAATTACGAATTTAATTTTTCGGTACTTTATTTAAAAACGTATAAATATAATGCAGTACATTAAAAAATATTGTTAGTTAATTATAATAAAATAAATAAATTAAATTTATATTCGAATGAAACAAATGAACTGGATTTATTATATATGAATGAAACGAAGGAACCAGATTTATTATATCCGGATAAAATGAAGGAACCAGATTTATTATATCTGGATAAAATGAAGGAATTGGATTTATTATATCCGGATAAAAGGTAAATTTGAATCGGAAGAAACCGGATTTATATTCGAATGCCAAATATCGATTCTAAACTCTATTTACCATCTTAAACTTTGATCATCCATTTACATATAAACAAAATAAAATTGCGAAAAAAAATGGAAGAATATAAATTTCAATTCGTTTCATTATTAATGAAAATGAATTAAAGACAACAATTCCATAAAGAAATTATAATCAACCTCGTATTCCAAAAATTTATATTTTATATCTTATGTAACATTTATCAAAAATTATCATTCACTTTTTAAAATTTTACTAGAAGCAACTCTGACCCGATACTGTTTTTTTAGCCGAAAACTTAACAAATTTATTTACTTAAAATTTGTAGCAACAAAAAAAAAATTTAAAAAATACATAAAAAACGAAAGCTGCTAGCTAAATACGACTAACTAACTTAAGGGAACCAAAAATTGTTAAATGAAAATAATAATGTGAATAAGCATAAGACTATCTGGTATAAAAAAATAAAAAAGAATATGTGAAAACAAAAAATATAGTTAAGAAGTAAGAAATGAAACGTCAACATATTCTTTTCTTTATTTTAGTATGAAATAAGTGATGAAACAACAAAAGATTCAACAAATAAAAGAAGTGCTTTTTTGCTTACCAAAATATAATTTTAATAATCTCCTCGACAGATGGGGCAGTCACAATCATAACTAACACCTCTTTGTCGGTAGCTATCATGGTGTTCACTGGCAATGTATCCAATTTCTTCTTTCGTATTTTCTGTAACTTTATACATTCTACTTCCTATCTTTATGGCTTGACCGGTCCTAAGCAAACATTTGGCGGTGGTATTTTTCCTTTGTCCTGCTGTTGAAGTTCTTAGTCCGAATAATCCACCAGTAAGACCGTGTCCTATATTCTCAACATAATCTCCTACCCCTCTAAAAATTCATTACCATCTTCTTTGGAGATTTCTTTAATTCCTTTACCGATAAGGTATGCTCCGCTTCCAATTAAGGATGCTGTTAATCCCCCAGAAGCAATCGTAGCTCCTGCTTCTCTTATTACCCTGTATTAACAGCAAGTTTTCCAACTTCTTTGGTGGCTTCAATAACTTCATTTTCAACTTCTTCGAGACCTTCAGTGAAATCGTCCCAAAATCCCATTATTTTTTTATTAAATTGTAAGAATAAAGATAGAAAGTTTCAAACTTAAAAAAGTTAAAAAACATTTATAAAAATATAAAAGTTAATCTTGCCAAGAAACATAACTTACTTTATTTCGTAAAAGTGAAGAGACTTTAAAAAACTTAAAGAACCTTAAACGGTTAAGGAGAAAAAAACCAATACCAAAACTTACGTTTTTTATAAGAAAAAAATAGTTGGCAAAAAAACGCAGAAACTTTTTCTGAGTTATACTTTATTATGGCATGCTATTCCTTTTTAATCCTTTTGTTTCCATGAAAGATATAAAAGATCACAACTTTCACAAGAATTCATTCAAAATTTCAGTTATAATTGAACATAAAATTTTTTAGTTGTAATCTATTTTTAATCATTATGTAAACTTATTCTTCGTATCAATAAATATATTTCTTCAAAATTTCAGATTAATTACATTTATACATGTATAAATCCAATACCTTGCTCTTTTATAACATAATCTTCTCTCGCGGTCCCTTTCAAAACTTTCCATAGAAATTAAGCAAGCACACAAGCTTTCATCTAAAAATTATATCATAATTCTTTAAAAAACTCAAATACAATTTTGCTAACTCTTTATTAAAATTTTCTTATTTCGACATGGCTTATTGAGAGATTAATGTATATTTGTTTTATAAGGTGAAATTGATTTACAATGGTCACTTCAGTGTAACAATTTAATTTTAACAGATTTCAGTCACGAAACCATAAATCTTTATTAAAGAACATAAATGTTATGTTATAAGAATTATTGGTATATAGTGACGCATCAAGAAAAACTGACACTATTTATAAAAAATTTAACATAAATTGCTAACGGTTTCAAAATAATTTAATCGAAGAAAAATCATCAAGTATAGATCGTTCATTCTGTTAGGAATATGCGGGATTTAAGTAATCAATATTTTATTGACCATAACATTAGCATTAGTAGCATTACTGAACGAATATACAATTATTGGATTTTAACGTTTTTCACTATTACAAGTTGTTTTGTTTAATAAACGGAATTATCTCATGGTTACTAATGGTTACCTGTGATTTTTTATATTGATATTTTAAATACCAGTGAAAATATCAAAGTTTATTTTAATGCAGATCATTAACGTTTAATTATACAGTATATAATTATTTGTAATACAAATACATTTTACAATTTAAAAGTTACATTATTAAAATGACAATTATTAAAAATAGGAAGTTT